ATGTTACTAGTGTTCTCATGCCTTTAACCATAGACCAAACATGTTGCATTTTAGCTTGCTTTATGTTTCTTTATGTTGATTTGTGATTTGAAGCTAGTTACCTTTCTAATTTTATAACAAATGGAATTATGTAGAGAGAGCAAAAGAATACAGAAGAGAGACACTTGTGAGGATAAGAGGAAGAAAAGGAAAAGGAAGAAATCATAAAACACAATGACAATGCTCTAGCAAACTTAAAGAAAGGGTCCTGTTCCGTATTTTCCACCTCCACTCTTACTTGCCAATTGCAATTAATGATCATTTATTGATTCATCTGTGGGCCTAAGTTGGCTAATAATTTGGAGAAGGCTCTGTCTTTTGTTTCATAGGAGCCTCTCACTGCTTCCTTTTGAATGCATGCTGGCATTTAACCACTGTACAACAACTTTGGCTTGCTCTCATCTTTTGACAATGCACTAAAAGGGCTTGTGACAAATCAAAATTTTGAATGTTCGTTGTGGTTGATAAATCTATTTTATAGACCTAAGGTGTAGTTCCAGTTGAAATGAATTATCTTTGTTATGTGGAAAATGGCTGATTTGAGTAGAAGAAATCAAGGTGGACCAATATTGCTTACTCTTTAGATTTTTAAATCTTCGCATCTATGAAGCACAAACATGGACATGGGATACAGACACTACACAACGCGAACATGGCAACATGACGGCTAGGACATCTTACAAACAATTGTGTTTATATATATATTCATATATTACAAGCATAATTTACACAAATTATACATTATTCTTTTCATGGTATAAGATAGTCATAATCACTTGTTAGTAAGTATCCAAAAAGAGTGTCGGACACATGTCCAAATTAAAATTTTTATATCTTAGATATGAACATGGAGCCGACCCCATTTGATGGGATTTAAGGTTTGGTTTGGTTTAGATATGAACATGGAAAAGGCGTGTTGAATATCTGTTTGAGAGTGTTTGAGGACATTGTTGGGATTTATATCATATCCCTCCAATGCGAACGGAAGCACACCATGCACACACCAAAGAGAAAATGATCACACAGATTTATGTGGTTCGGCCTAAATTGCCTACATCCACGGCAGACATAGTTTCCACTATATGAATAAGATAGAGAATACATGTGAAATGACCAAAACACTCAAAACCCACACCACTATCCGAACCCTATGCTCAAGGGTAGTTGAGCCCTTGCTCACCCAGTGCCTTCACAGTATTTTTCTCTCACCTCTTGCATCTCTATTTTTTTCCCTCACTACTCTCTCAATCTCTCTCAGAGAAACCCTATATAGTCCACAGGACTATTTATAATAGTCTACTCATGAGAATCCTAGTTCCACACAATTAGGTAACCAAATCCTACATATAATAGGTTTCTTAGTAGATTCCAAAATCTACTATCCTAGCCCAAATACATGTATAAACCAACCTAATAACTGTATGAGATTCACATTTATCACATGGGTGGACTAATACTAACAAACACTGATACATGTCTGTGTGTGTCAACATTTTAGAAGTATCTGTGCGTCTTAGCTTTACATTTTTCAGAAGTTTGGGTATAAATAGATTTGGTGTGGATTTGGTGAAAGGTGCATATCCAATGTAAACCATGAAGCAAAACTGAACATGGTCAACACAAACACCATATAAGGTTATAATTCATTTTTAAATTAGTGTGCATGAATGTTTGTCAACGGTTATTGTGCCATGGAACGATGTTCTTGGACATTTAGAACACAAAAGTTGTTTGTATATGATCTTTTCACTAAGAGCTGTTTAGTGAATGATGGATATGACTTTTTGGGACTTAATTTGCTTGAATCTTTTTGATAGTTGATGATGTCTTGGACTTTGAGCAAATAGCTTTTTGCTTATGAAACTGGCACTGTGATTACTGATTAAGATTCTTCTGTGTTCAACAGGCAATAGTTAGAATTGCAGATGAAGATGGGAATTACTTGCAGGAAGCCTGGGAGCATATTTTGACATGTGTATCTCGTTTCGAGCATTTGCATCTCCTGGGAGAGGGTGCTCCTCCAGATGCAACTTTCTTTGCTATTCCTCAGAATGATTTTGAAAAATCAAAACAAGCCAAATCAAATATCCTTCCTGTTCTAAAGAAGAAGGGACCGGGGAGGATTCAGTATGCAGCTGCAGCTGTGAGAAGGGGTTCATATGATAGTGCTGGTATTGGCGGTAATGCTTCTGGAGGAATTACCACTGAACAGGTGAACAATTTAGTGTCCAACTTAAATATGTTGGAACAAGTTGGCGAGATGAATCGCATATTTTCAAGGAGTCAAAAGCTAAATAGTGAGGCGATAATTGACTTTGTCAAGGCTCTTTGCAAGGTCTCAATGGAAGAATTGCGATCTACATCTGATCCACGTGTTTTCAGCCTTACAAAGATAGTTGAGATTGCGTATGATTTATCTTCACTTTGTCTTGTTCCTCTCTTGGGTATTCTTTATTAATGATTTTGTGTTATAGAGTTAATATATTGCTTTCAAGCTATTGTGAAGATCTAACATGATTTCTTTGCTTTTGAGCAGGCACTATAACATGAAACGTATCCGACTTGTGTGGTCAAGCATCTGGCATGTACTCTCTGACTTCTTCGTTACCATTGGCTGTTCTGAAAACCTTTCAATTGCAATTTTTGCGATGGATTCATTACGCCAGTTATCAATGAAATTTTTGGAGCGGGAAGAGCTGGCTAATTATAATTTTCAGAATGAGTTTATGAAGCCATTTGTAATTGTTATGCGGAAAAGCAGCGCTGTGGAAATTAGAGAATTAATCATCAGATGTGTCTCTCAGATGGTTTTGTCTCGTGTCAATAATGTCAAATCAGGATGGAAGAGCATGTTTATGGTACTGAAATCTTCCAGCTTCTCATTCTCTCTCTCCTTGTTACACTTGAAGTATCTGTTGTCAATTTAATCAATTAAAACGTTGTTGCTAAACACATTGTCATTGAGTTCATTACAATGAAAACATTTTTCAGGTCTTCACAACAGCTGCTTATGATGACCACAAAAACATTGTACTCTTGGCCTTTGAAATCATTGAGAAGATTGTGCGAGACTATTTCCCACATATTACTGAGACTGAAACTACCACTTTTACAGATTGTGTGAATTGCCTGATTGCATTCACCAATAGTAGGTTCAACAAAGACATTAGTCTCAATGCTATTGCTTTCCTTCGATACTGTGCTGCAAAACTTGCTGAAGGAGACCTAGGCTCATCATCAAGGAATAAGGAGAAGGAAGCTTCTGGAAAGTTTTCTCCAACTTCACCTCAAAAAGGAAAAGATAGAAAACATGACAATGTAGACTTGGCAGACAAGGAAGATCATCTCTATTTTTGGTTCCCTTTGTTAGCTGGTAAGGAAAATGTTTGAATGGTGTTCAACTGTTTATTGTGGTACAAATTGATCAAGTTTTTAAATATATATATATATATTTGTTGTTGATACTTCTGCTACTTGGAAAATCATTGAAGCATTTCTCTGTTCTTTCCCCAGGATTGTCAGAACTTAGTTTTGATCCAAGGCCTGAAATCAGAAAGAGTGCTCTACAAGTACTCTTTGATACTTTGCGCAATCATGGTCATCTTTTCTCTTTACCTCTGTGGGAAAGGGTGTTTGAAATCAGTCCTATTTCCTATATTTGACTATGTTCGGCATGCTATTGATCCTTCTGGTGGAGACTCACCCAGTCAGGGTATTGATAGTGATATGGGTGAGCTTGACCAAGATGCGTGGCTCTATGAGACATGCACATTAGCTCTCCAACTAGTTGTAGATCTTTTTGTTAAGTTTTATGACACTGTGAATCCACTTTTGAGGAAAGTGTTGATGCTGTTGGTAAGTTTTATCAAACGTCCTCACCAAAGCCTTGCTGGTATTGGGATTGCTGCATTTGTTCGTTTGATGAGCAATGCTGGGGATCTCTTTTCTGATGACAAGTGGTTAGAAGTGGTTTTCTCTCTTAAAGAAGCAGTCAATGCTACACTTCCTGATTTCTCCTATATTGTTAATGGAGACATTAAGTTTTGGAGCAATGAAGAACCTTCATCTCAACAGAATAATGAAGAGCCTTCTGGGTCTGGTATGCCTGATGATGATACAGAGAATTCGAGGATACATAGTCTTTCTGCTGCTATTTCTGATGCCAAGTGCCGAGCCGCTGTCCAACTTTTACTGATTCAGGTAGGCCGATTTCTTCTTTCAGTTCTGGATGTTTGTGCGAAATACTCTCTACCTTGTGGTGTATATGCAGCCATATGTGTCACGTAAGCTCAGTTAGCTGGTAAAGTAGGTTTGTCTTCTGTAGTGTGCCTTTTCAAACCATTTTCAAGGGGTTGCATGGTGTAACTACTAGGTCTAAGGATGGTCTAGAGTGTCAAGGTCGGTGAAGGACCAATTGTAGCAATTTATGTGGGAAGGGGGCCTTGAAACTGAACCCCTGATGTACTGAAAGGTTGGGTCTTTTAGCTTTTCACAAGGGGAGTATGAGATGCCCAAAATAGAGTATATGTATTTCATTGCTCAAGAATATGTATCATTTTAGACAAATGAATCGATAATGACATTCCCATTTAAAGTCTCAGAGATATTCTCATGTTTTACATAAGTTCACTTACAAGAGTTGTGATTATTTTCAGTTTGGAATTATGGAGAGAAGCCTTAGAATTAAGAGGGATAAATACCATGATAAAATACCAGGATGCCAACCATTGCTGCAGATGATGACAATGAGAGTTTAATACTGTTGATAATCATATATGGTATGTGGATATTAATTAAGAGAATCTTTTCATTAGGTAAGAGAAGTTAAGAGAATCTTTACATTAGGTAAGGTAAGTAGTTGAACATTTATAATGTTGATGTGAATGAAAATTGTGTATAGTATTTGTCTATAACTCGGGTATTCACCAACTATGCAACTTAAGTTGAATTTGATGTTTACAAGAGCATTGTAAGACTACGCTTGCTTTATGGGAAACAAATTGTGCATTTATGAAACATCTTCACTACACTCCTGTTGTTGAAATGGAATATTGAGATGAATGTCTCAATACAAGAGAGGAGAAAAGTTAGATTTGAGTACATTGGATGAAGTTGAAAGTAGGCACACCAATAATTAGTTATAAAACAAGAGAAAACTGGTTAATTCATTATTCATTCAGTCCTGATTAATTCATTATTGAAGCTGGCAGAGGCTAAGTGGAATTCCTATAGTAGGAGAATATTGTTTGCTATTCCTACCATGCGTAATTCTCATAATTGGTTGCCTAGTCCTCTTTTTGTTTTCTCACGAGGAACTAGACCTAATTCTTAGTTTTCATTTGAGTCATTTGAGCCTTCATTTTAAATTTTTTCTAGGCACTTGTTAGAAAACTGGATATGAGATTTTTATTAATTTTTTCCGTTAAATTTTGGCAGGCGGTGATGGAGATCTACAACATGTATAGAACTCTGCTTTCAGCCAAAAATACCATAGTCCTCTTTGAAGCTGTGCATGCTGTAGCATTTCACGCTCACAAGATAAACAGCGATATGACATTACGTTCAAAGCTTCAGGAGTTTGCGTCCATGACCCAAATGCAAGACCCTCCATTGTTACGTCTCGAGAATGAGTCTTATCAAATTTGTCTCACATTCTTACAGAATCTTATACTTGATAGGCCTGAAAGTTATGATGAGGCAGAAGTGGAGTCTTACCTTGTTGACCTTTGCCGAGAGGTGCTACAGTTCTATATTGAAATTGCACGTTCTGGACAAACGTCTGAGTCATCTCTTGGTGGGCGGCCCCAATGGTTGATTCCTTTAGGTTCGGGTAAACGGAGAGAATTGGCTGCACGAGCACCTCTTATTGTTGCGACTCTCCAAGCTATATGTGGTTTAGGAGATTCTTCATTTGAGAAGAACTTGAATAACTTCTTTCCCCTACTCTCGACCTTGGTAAGTTGTGAGCATGGTTCGGATGAGATTCAAGTAGCCCTTAGTGAAATGCTGAGCTTGTCAGTGGGTCCCATTTTGCTTCGATCGTGTTGATCTTACACAGCCTGACCTCACATTTTGAGATGTAAGGTATTTTTATCCATGTCTTGCAGTTTTCATTTTTAATTTTTTTCCTGCATTTTAATAATTTTTATTGGTAATATAGTTTCATAGTGTATGAAGAGTTAGCATTGTTTTTTGATTACCATGTGCTTGTGAACCTTCTGAAGTTGATTCAGGGGGCTTAGTTTCTTAGATAGAATGCACAGTTGTTATCAGGAATTTTGATGTTGTATGTTAGTGTTTCTTGAGGCTACTTTAAGAACAATAATTTCATGTAAAAAAGGATTGCGTATTCTGCATAGAAACTAGAGGTTTTGTTTGGAATTTGGTTCTGTAGTGTTCTTTAGCTGGGGTGATATTATGCGAATTTATTTCTTGGTGTAGTGGTAAGGTTATTCCATTACAACTTGAGTGTCACGAGTTCATATCACAGAAACAGTCTCAGCACATCTGGGGATAAGGTTGTGTAGGGCGAATTCTTCCCAGAGTAGAGTCTGCAGTGGCAAGAGTTATGTGCACTGTGAATGCCCTTTTATATGCATAAAGGAACATTGATATTTATTAGCCATGAGTTATAGAGTAGACTTTTATGATTAGGAACAAAGTAGAGACTGAGATTCTACCTTTTTTCCCATTTTCTGAATAGGTGGAAACATCATGAAAGATGACGTGGTGGTCCAGAATCATATATTTTACCTTCTCATGGGCAATTCCATCCCACTATTCTTTTGGTGGAAAATAATAAATCCAATCAAATAAAGCTTTTGTTGCTTAAGCTAGCCGTGTGATTTAGTGTCTATTGTCCACTGGAAATGTGTTGGATGGGTCGGTTTGATTAAGATTGCTTTCATGGTTGCCTGGTTGAATTACTAATATTACTGTTTCCAAAAATAGATACCTAATTTTATAATATTTGCATATTAGTATATTTCCACTTTTCAGTTAGGAAAAAAAAATCTATTTGATTTTTCTTTTCTGTCTTGCATGACAATTGGTGCAGTTTATTGAAGTTTTATTTATTTAATTTTATTTTCTAGTTTAAATAAGTTAAAAAAAATTTAGATTATCTTGATAGACGGTGTTTTCATTTTTGCTTTCTAATTATATGTTTGAGAAAAGTTGCACCAAATAGACTTGATATGTGAGTTGTTAAAACATCTTATTCATAATCAATTGACAATGAGTAAAAACTTGAGTGATATAGAGAAACGATATGGGACAAGTTTAACACAGGTAATGTAGAATTTTTAGAATGATGTGATTTTTATGATCTTTTCATTTCAAAACAAAAATGTCAATCATTGTGGTTCAAGATTACAAAAATGTCGCTGTCTATACGAGCTTAATATATAGAAATTTTGTTTGTAAATAATTTTGTTGTGTTTTAATTGTCTTTAGTATTTTTCCTATTGATTAAAAATCCAAGTGGAAGATAATCAAAGTTTTCTTGGTTAATGAGATGATCATAAAAATCCAAGAACATGGTTACCAACAAAATAAGTGGTTCAATCAAATTGGCTCCTACATTTGCGGAAACCACAACACTTGAAAGAAAGAGTCATCAAAGTCCTTTTGGCAATGAAATGCCGGCACTTTAATGTAATTCCATTGGCATCCACTAGACAAGACGTAATCAACACCACATTATTATTATTATTGTCACTCGTTTGAAATTTAAACTAGCCTAATCAGCACCACATCAAAGGGAGGATCCGGTCTACACTTCTAGAAATTTACAGTAACCTAATCAGCACGACATCAAGGGGAGGATTCCGTCTACACATCTCTCTCTCTCTCTCTGGGTTTGGATAGGTATGGGAAGTCGTGGATTGGAAAATTATTTGGTGATTTGAGACTATCAGGTTGATCTTGAACATTAAATCAGAAAAAAAAAAGAAAAAAAAAAAAAGCGTAACTTGAAATTTATTTTTCTACTTTCCATAGAGTTGTCCTGACAAAGTGGTTGGTGAAGTCCAACTTTTTTTTTTAACTATAATTATTCATTAGGTCTGAAATTACCACGTTAATCAAATCAAGAAAAAATGTGGCCCAAGAGGCAAGTATTGGCGAAGTGTGGCGTTAAGACATTCTACTTTTGAAGAGGTAAATCTTGACAAAGTGGGGCTTTAAAACATATTATTATAATTGATTGAGCTGAAAACTTAAATTGACGTGGCGATTTAAAATTAATCAAAATAAAATGTACAATTGTACTTCATTTACCTCCTTGTTCACTACAGATTGTATGAACAAATACAACAGGATTTTAAAATTTTAATATTATTATTTACTAATATATTAATCATGACTGTATCACATACATATTTAAAAATTGCTTCTTTATCTAGTCTCCACATATAGTGCTTGGTCTAGGTAGGCCCTTATGGCTGTGGAATTATTGGAAGTTACCAATGGTTTCTTTGCAAGTGCCATAACAAATGCAAACATCACATGCCAATCCACTAAAGCACCCAATCCCAACCATTTGTTTCCATTCCTATTCTCTTTTCAACATATATATATATATATATATTATCACTTCCATCCATATATATCTCTCGACTATAACTACACTTTCCACCACCACTTCTCTCTCTCTCTCTCTCTCCCTCCACCATGTCTGATCTTTTTGAACTTTGCTTGGCTCCTCTGCACAAGTATGCTACCAAATTTGTTCAACAACTCAAGTCTTTGAGCAAAATCAAGGGATGGAAGGAGAGAAGAAAACCCAAGAGGCAGTTCTATGATTTCAACAAGTTAGCCTCATCTTTTGCAGCCATGGAAGTCTCCAACCAGCTGAAAAAAGTGTTTGAATTCTATGACGCAAACGGCGATGGGAAGATCTCTCCTTTGGAGCTGAGAGAAGTGCTTTTGAGCTTGGGACATGAGAAGTCTATGGCTGCCGAGGAAGCAGAAGGGATGGTAAAAGAAATGGATCGTGATGGGGACGGGTTGGTGGACATAGATGAGTTCATGAGAGCTGTGAATACTACTGACAACGCAGCCAGGGGCGTTGGCGAGGAAGATGATCTTATGGGTGCTTTTCTCATATTTGATTTGGATAAGAATGGTTTGATATCAGCCAAGGAGTTGCAGAGGGTGTTAGTTGGTCTTGGGTATGAAACTTGTAGACTTAGTGAGTGGGAAATGATAAAAGGGGTTGATAAGGATGGTGATGGTTTTGTGGATTTTCAAGAGTTTAGGTCAATGATGAGAGGTTGTGTAGGTTGAGGATCATCAAATAGTGTTTCCTTCTAGGCCAAATCCTCTGTCCGGATTCTCTTCTTTTACTTTGTCTTAAACTGCATTTGTATGATAATTTCTTTGGCATGATAGTAGGGTGAGAAGCACCTTGAGGCAAGAAGATTCTCCCTTTATCCTATTGTCCTAAGCCACCTTTATATCATGTGATAATTTGGGTATAGTGTGGTGGGAGGGCCTTGAGATTGGAATATTCTCCCCATTCCACTGTTCCAAGCTACTTCTCTATCGTAAGATCAATCTCTCTAAGCTAATAGTGTGGTAAGAGGGGTCTTGAGACGAGAATCGGAAAAATTTGGATGAATAATCATCTCTGCTATAACATGGATCTCTATGGTCTAATCGTGCGGTAGCAAAAATTATTCATGTGATGTGTGACAATGAATAATTGTTCGTGTGAAAAAGAGGAGCAGCGTTAAGACGGGAAATAGAAGATTCTGACACGGGAATTTTTATTTTAGGGTAGTTTTTGAAGTTGTGGATTGAAGGGTTTCATGGAAATTGAAAGGAAGAAGTGACTGAAGAAGATGATTCTCTTCTTGAATGTCAATGAAGTAGTCTTTTACCCTTTTCAGTGTAAAGTACTCCTAGTTTGCATAAATGAAATAGGCAAAATTGTTTTAGTTGCATGCCCTCATCAAAATTTCTAGCAAAGATAGTACAGATTATACTCAAAAGGGTTGCTATTTTTTTTTATTTTTTTTTTTTTGGGGGGGGGGGGAAGCAAAGGCTCGATGTACATTCTCTTTATATTCTTTCTTAAAAAATTCAATTAAACAATGCTGTGAATGTGTAATCAGACGCAAAATATATGGATGGATAAGATTTTACAAGATTTGATAGTAGTCCACTTCTCAAATTTTTTATCCAACCATTTCTTTTTTCTTCTTCCTTTTTTTTTTAAAAAAAAAAATAAAGAAAATTTATTGATATCAACTTTAGAGACAAGTGGTTGTTGGGCCGGCCTTGTGAACCGGGTGTCTCTGGATTGACTTGCCTTCTTTCTTGGTTTGGAAAAATTATTAGGTGCTCATGTGTTCTTTCAGCTAATCATCAATTGTCATACTCTGTATTGTTCCTTTGTCTCTTAATATAAAATTATCGACTCTACTCCCTTCATCAATCACAATCTTCTTAGAACATCACCTAACCACATTCCAAGACCGTTGAATAACCTTTCTTTAGTTTGAGGGATTTTAAAAGTTGTTGGAATTCGCATATTACCTATTTGGCATCCAAACCAAAAAAATAAAAAAAAAAAACGAAATATCTCTCATCCCTTATATTTGGAGCAAATAATAATAAAAACAATAGTGTTACATCTGCATAATTGCTCCTCCAAAAACCCCTATGAATAACATGACAAGGTTGGTTGGACGGTTTTGAGAGAAGAGAAGTGTAGGAGCGTGAGTCATAAATTTGTCTTTTTTTTTTTTACCACGTCATTTGAAGAATTTGTGGGAGAGAAGCCATGTAGATGAAGTATTTTTCTAATAAAAAAAGATAGAGGCCCTAAATATTTTATCAAAATTTCTATCAACCTACTCACATGGATGTGCGGTCTGTAAATTACTCAATAATAAGGTCCTGAAATTTTCTGTCTTTGTGCTTCAATACATTTACAATCATATAATATGATACGAATTTCAAAATATAAGAACTTAAAGATATGATTATGGAATTAAGAATATATAGTGACATGAAGATAGAGAAATTTCAAATCACATAATCTCATGTGAATTTTGAGCTCCCCATTTCAAGGAGATACAAGTACTAGATGTGCCTCGATTTTGCATTTAGCGGTTTGTTAAGGTCTACTTCATTTCTATAGGTAAGAGTGACATGTATTGGAAACTTTCCTCTCCTGTCTCTTTCTCTCTCATATATGGAATGAGCTAAGGGAATCCTCCATTTTTTGTCCATTTTTTAAAAAAATTTTGTTACTAGGTGGCCGGCCTAGAGACAAAATACTCCTATGAAGCCAAATAACAAAAAAAAACAAAATATAGATTTTTTTGGGGGTCTGAAAACTCCTAGACTAAACTTGGTAATAATCAAACAAAAGATTATTAATTGTGGGTACATGCAAAAACAAATTTGCTCTTATCATCTTCATGTGTTTGTTAGCTTCTGTTCTTGTTTAGCTAAATGTCCACTGCTATCCTCAAACCCTAGCTTCTGAGAAGTTAGGGTCGGTTTGGATGGATTTAAATTTCAAATCAAAGAATTTGAAATTAAAAAATATTAGAGAGTTAAATATTATATGTGAAGAGAAAAATTATAGAGAAAAGTTAAAACAAAATAGATGTATTTTAATTGAACTCTTGTAGTTAGAATAGTTTCCTTAATATGATTTCAAATAATTATTTTGAATCTATCATGATAAAATTATTTAATTCATAAGTTGACTATTAAATCTTGATTTGAGCTATTCTCTTTATGTAGGTGATCTCAAATCCATGAATTTCAAATTTGCATCCATCTAAACAAATTTTTAGGCTGTGTTTGGTTCATAGATTTGGAGAGAGATTTGAAAAATAAAAAAGAAAATGTGTGTGAAATATAAGTAAAATGTAATTAAATTTCTTTCACATTTCACACATTTAGCATCACTCTATAGCAATAAGTCCCCCACGGAGTTGTGAACGCAGTTTTCTCTCTATCCTCGGGCGCCATCAAGATCTGGTTATACCCAGAAAACCCATCCATGAACGACAACAACGCGTGGCCTGCGGTGAAGTCCCCCACCTTATCTATATGCGGGAGAGGGAAATCGTCCTTCGGACTAGCCCTGTTCAAATCTCTAAATACGTATCCCAAAGATGGGAATCAAGCCTTACGTAGTTTCGGGTAAGGTTCACTCGAGTATTAACGCGCTCCTTTTGCCAAGGCCGCCCTTTTTGGGTTTTCAACCTTGCGAGCTCAGTTTTTTTTCTTTCTAATTTTCATACTCTAACTTTTGCCTAGGTCTCCCTTCTGGGATTTTGGCCTAACGAGCCTCTCAGGGATAGAATTTCTTCAACTTGTCCATGTTGATCGGTTGGGAAAATTTGAGGTCGTCTATGTCCATGAGAAGAACTGCTCCTCCTGACGAAATTGACTTGATGATGTAATAAGGGCCAGGATTACGTAGAGAGTGTTTAGTTATGGAAGGTTACGGTAGGATTAACACTTTAAGGTCATGTTTGTTTGGGTGGATATGAGTTTGGGATTGGATTAATAGTCCAATAAAATTATTAATCCGATGTTTGGTTAAACAATTGAAGTACGAACTAACAATCCATCCGGACATGGTATCCCACATATGATGGACTATTTATTATCACAGAGGGGGGTGGGATATAAATTGGAGGACTAAATCAAAGTCTGAACTATTAATCCCTCCTTATAATACTAACTCAATCAGAACATAGGATATGATACACAATTTAAAGGAATTCGTAGTCCTAGGACTATTAGTCATGGGAATGCTAATCCAATTTAATCCAATCTGTCCAAACAAACATGGTCTAAAGGGACTACTAATCTCCCCTCTTGAAATTTTGAAAAAGTGTATCTTTAATGATATTTATTTATCTATTTAGAGATATCTGTTTTGAGCTATTGGTGGAGGATAGTTATGAGTTTTGTAAAAATTGCAAGAGAATTAGGTGAACTAAAACTAACTTATCATCCACGTGCATTGAACATTGTTGCTCATTTAATATATTGAAAATGTATATGATTTTGAGTAAAAATGGGTGAACGTGGAAAAGATGTGTGTATCACCAAATTAAGTTGGGCTGCGTGTCTACGGTGAAAGTCCCGAAAAACGCGCGTATATATGGGTGTCTGTGACACTTTGTTTTCAGGGTCGCTCGAGCGAGGAAATCGTTGCTCAAGCGTAGAATTGTTGCTCCCAGTATGCTGCTGATTTGCAGGTGTGCTCGCTCGAGCGAAAAAAGTTTCGCTCAAGCATGAAATGCTAGCTTCCAGCAATTTCACTGTAGCGTTGCCAAAACTTCTGAGGCTTTCCTTTCCCCGCTCGATCGAAGGAGTTGTCACTCGAGCGAGTCCTTTCGATTGTGTCTGGTCGCTTGAGCGTAGGAAGTCACGCTCGAGCGATAGAGCCTTCATTTGGAAAGATAAAAAAAAAAAAAATTAAAAGTCAGCTTTTAACCTATTTTAGGTCACATCATTCTCTATATATATTTTTTTTACACATTTTCAAAAAAAAAAAATCAAAAAGTCAATTTTTAATCAATTTTCCAAAATAACCCAAAGACATATGAATAGGATCTAAAAGTAATGAGACATAATGAATAAGATATTAGAACGAGCAAAGATCCTCTCGTTATCTTTTCTACTTGTTCTCCTCTTTGCAATGGTCAAGATTCACTCTAAGAAAATTTAATAGCTCAAATTATCCTAAAAAAAATTACCTTTTAATTTTTAATTTTTTTTAATAAAATGATCTGAGCTGTTGAATTTTCTCAAAATAAATTTTAACCATTGCAAGGAGAGGGTCAAGTAGATAAAGTAAGGAGTGGATCCTTGCTCATATTAGAAGTGGTAGGGGAAGTTGGAGGAGGGGTAGTAGGAAGAGGAAGAGAAATGAGGGAGAGAGCGACTGCTATCTGGGCCATTGCTTCTATAAAGTCTTCTACATCACCAACCAAATGCGTTGGTTGGTTTGGTTTGGCCAGAAAACTTTTAGGGATGGCCATAACCACATTGCACTCAGTGAGTGGAAAATTGCCAAGCTGAATGGCCATTTTTTCTCCAATTTCTCCATAACCACATTGCAATCAGTGAGCTGAAAACTGCCAAACTGAATGGCCATTCTTTCTCCAAAGTCTCCAGAACTTTCCAACTTAACCTCATCATTTTCCATGTCGATAGGGACGATGTTGGCCAACCAAGTTGGATACTCAGATACTAGCAAAAATCCTACGCCTACCCGTTTGGTAACCTCCTCTTTGATTTTTAGTGCCCAATCCGGACGAATCTTGCGCAACTTCTGCTTGATAGGTCGGGCCTCGGGGAATCTCTTTCAGTCGTAACTATATGCAGGTCTTTAGTTATTGTTTATGATGGCGAATTTGTCTTTCAAATTGGATTTACTGCTGCATCTCCTACTAGTGACAAGAAAGCAGTGCTTGTGGATGCCAATAACTTGATACAAGGTTCACTCTACCAAAAACTCAACTCAAAGCTGCAAATCATGTTCTTTTGGGCCAAAAACTCAAGGAAAGTTGTGTAAACTTGTAAAACATGGTGAATTTAAAATCATTTCGCAAAATCAATGCCCAAAAACAAGCTAATTGTGCAAAAACCAAGCTTGAAACTTATGCTTCCTGAAAATCACCATCATTGTGTCTTAGATTTGATTTAGGTTGGAAAAAATCCAAGGAACGACTTGCACAATTCCATATATGGCCAACTGCTGAGATGAGTTTAGAATTTGAAACATCTTAACTAGGTCACTAAGAAGGTCTGACTTATTCTTACTCTTGATCACCATATCGTCGATGTATGCCTCCATTATTTTGCCTAACAATGAGGCAAACATCTTGGTGACCATTCTCTGGAATGTCACCCCTGCATTCTTTAGGCTAAAGGGCATGGCCTTAGTTTTTCATAAATGTGAAATGTTTTAAATGT